ACTCTTCATTTCAGGTGCTCTTCCTTCTCCAAATCAAAGAGCATGAACAAGGAAAAGCAGCGGAATCACAGTGCTTGCAGTCATTTCCAGCAGCAATACAAAGGGATGCCCTCTGCCAGTACTAACTCCCTCTTAACTTGTCAGGATTTCTTGGCAGCTGCAGCAGAGTACTGTGTTCCGCAGTTTTTGAGATTTAGGAAATGCTAAATCATGCTCCTTTCCTGCTCCACAGAAGGCACCCCTCTCAATACTGCAAATGTGGAAATTCAGCCTGATAAAATTAAATTATCAAGGGTGGTTTCAATCCTGTCAAAGGCATTTCTGGCTCCAAATCTGTTCCTTTTTTGGGGGTGAAAATAATTCTCCCTGTTGGCAGAATTAAAATGGGACTTAGCAAGGGAACATAGAATTTTCGAGAATTTAATAAACGTGGAGAGAGATTCCCAGTGTCTAGCTTTCCAAGAGAGCAGCTGAATATTTCACTTAAAGAGGCCACACTGTTAAAACAAAAATAAATGGCACCGTGCAATTTTGTTAGCAAGATGTGAAAACGTCCAGCAAATAACAGCAGCAACAATCACTCAGACCTAGGGTGCCAAAGTCTGGGAAAATAAATTTAAGTTACACTTTGTTGCATTCTTTGCTGAGCACAGAACAAGTGAACAGTTCTGCCATAGTCTGAAAAAGCCCAGTGGCACCTCATCTTCATTAGCTTCACAGCCCACCATGCATGCACTGACCAGAAGCCTCCAAAGATGGGCATCATCCTTTTTTTTTTCCCCTATTCTTAAAGGCTCTGCGACTCAGATCACCTGAGCAGACAACTGGTTCTGGCCTGAGGACACTCCCTCTCATCCTTTAAATCTGATTCTAAGAGGCGTGGGGCACAAGAACCAGGCCATGCATGGCTCTGTTTACGTACACTTCCAGCACAAGTAACACTAATCAGAATCTCTGGCTATTCCCACACTAACGACAGTAACAAATCAACCTGCACTATTCCTTCCTGGCAGCTGCATCAAACTCACGAAGCTGATGGCTGGAGAAAGCCAACTCAGACTAGCAGAGCCCAGGTGAGGAGAGCACTCCCTCACAACATACCATGTCCCAAAACCCACATTCAGAAGGGGGATATTCTGAAAGTTGTTGTGCACACATCAACACAGATGTACACTCAGGGTACCATTATTAGAGGCTTTTCTTTAAAAACACCATTCCATCCCCATTCCTAAAGACTAAGTAATACTGATGAGCAAAGGGCACAATGAAAAAAAGGCAGTCTGCTGCTGTTGTGGTAAAACCCAACCTCTGTGCTTCACTTCACACTTCATGCCATAAATATAAGCCAATACAAGAACCTGTAGCTCTGCTACCCTCATAGCCAATGCTACTCCCAGTGAGCAACATGATTCCCTCAGCCAGCAAAGGCAGTGAAAAAACTCAGGCTCAAATGGAGATCCATAGATCACAGGACCAAGCCTAGATCCAAGGTAAATCCTGGTCCCGAGCATTCCAAGTGGCCCTTCACAAAATCCAGGAGACATGAAATGACTGATGTATTTTATGTACACATAAACCCCTGACATGGAAACCCTTAAACCCCATGGAGCCTAAATCAATTTACTGAAAGGTCTGGTTTTATTTTATTTTTTTAAATGAAGACACGATCTAGAATATCTGACACAGTAGTGGATACGTAACACATGGAGACTCTCTTCTATTTTGGAAGCTAAGCAGTCTTCATGTGTGCTGTTTACTACTAAACACAATGTTCTGGACTCCTTGTGAGCAAGCCCTTTCAGGAGAGTTTAGCAGCCACGTTGTGAAACTTAAACACCACCCACTGAGAGGGATAACCTGACCACGAGTTTAAAGCAGCAGGTCTTCTGCCAGCAATAGCTACACAGATGGAGGCATGAAGAGCACAGCTGGATCAGTCTCTGTGAGAACATCAGTCAGAAATCTTCGATTTGAAGGTCGTGAGTACACACAGATCTACAAGATGCATTTGCACACAATTCCATCTAAATGAAGGCAAAATATTTTAAATCCTCTTTTAGTTCCAGTTCAGAGAACCAGCTCAGCAACTCAGTTGTGAGTAAGGGTTTTAAAAGCACAATGTCTTATCTTTACTTTGATACGACCTTGCTATACTTTGCATTCCTGTTAATTCCTATCATTCATACTACGCACATATTTTGCCAACATGTGCATTATCATTCAGTAGAGAAATGGAGACAAGAAAGCTCATCCAAAGTCAAAATCATGACCAGAATGAAGGACAGAATCTGTAATTATATAGCACAGCTCCCACTCCAAAGCCACAAGGCACCTTGTCCATTGCTTCACAAGGGCAGTGCTTCTGTACCGGTGGATAAAATCAGAGCGATTACTCACCTAACCTGAACACAACCTTAAACTCAGGTCACTCAGTAACATACAGCTACCCACTAACTGAAAAACATATTTTCTTTTTTAATTTCATAAAGGGAGGAAACGAGAAAACCTACAAAATCAACAGAGTCAGCCGGCAGGACACCGCTTCACATGCACTTAACACTGTCACGTTGGGCAAAGCATGGAAGGATGGAAACTCGGCCAGAAAAAAGTCATAGCGATACTGCTGGAGTGCTCATTTCGCACAGCACTCCTTCCAGAAATGTCCTTAATGACTTTTGACTTGTTGTACAAGCAAAGCCACACGACAAAGAAGTCTCCTTGTTCTCCATTTAGAGTCTTGGACAACGTGGCTAATGGGGTATTCGAGCTGTATTTTAGCTGAAAACAAACAACAGCTCCAGCCCCTGCTCCAGCAAACAATCCTTTTGAAAACACACGTAACAGCAAATATCATGGAATAAAGTGAATTAAATACGAAACAAGAGCAAAGTAAACTAGAAGGCCATTTCTGAACCACATCTAGGGACAACAAGGAATCCAAACTTGAGAAAGCAAGTGGGACTACAACGGCATTAAAACAGTTTGATACTTCACAGTTCTTGGCTCTTTAGGGATTGGAGAGAATCAAATCATAATTTCCAAATACAGGCTAAGTAAGTTAATGGAGAGCCTGCAGTTCCACCTTAGGGATGTTTCCCTGGCCAATAAACTCCTGCTCTGCAGAAACAGCTGTCAAAGTCTTCAAGTCAATCGCTACCTCAGAGTTGTCTTCCATCTGATGCAAGATCAGCACTCCCAGTGCTCTGACCCAGTTTCTCAACCACACAGAGTTTGGAGAGGATGAATTTTCCATGTGAGCTTGGGAGACTGATCTGTTTTTTACACAACTATACAATGACAACAACTGAATTCAACAACTGTACGTCAGTGCTGTGAGTTTATAAAATTTGTACAGCATTTTTTAAGGGGGAAAAAAACAAACTCTGTGGCAGAAGACAGAATTTCAGTGTTTCTGCCTCAAATGCTTCACTATCTTTTAAAGCTTACGTAACAAAAAAGCAGAAGCGGAATTTTCTCATTAAAATACTGAAATTTCATAAATAATTGTCAATGTGAATTAAGATACCCCTAGTGGCAAAGATGCTTTAGGCTTTTTTTTTTCTCTTTGAGTTTGAGAAAGGACTCACATGAGGAAAGTTGTAACAGTTATATAACATGGAAAAGAATTAAAGCGTAAGGAGTCGGACAACCCCAAGTATTATAAGAATATTTTATACCCTAGGTGTGATGGTGCTGTTAAGTATCCTGCTTTCTTTAAGCACAATCCTAGATAACTTCAGCCTTTTTTATGTGGCTTTAGCTACAAGACTGTATGTAAAACTAGCAGGGGGGAGGTACAACTTGAAACCAAGGTGAATATAGGGTATTCGGTACAATAAGAAGTGTCAAGTTCAACTGAGGTTAACAAAACATCAGGTAAAAAGAACAAAAAGTGTTTATCGCAATTTTGAACAGAAGAATCAAAGAATTGAGGAACTGTGCTTTGTTTTCAATGTAACAGAAGAACTTTACATTTTGCCCCCAAATGGAAGAGTAAATTTGGAAATGGATGCTCTTTTCTCTGTACTAAAGGAAAAGTAAGTATTAAACTCCAGAGAAAATACACTTGGAATTTTACTTATGGGTTAGCTACTTCCAACACATGGCTTGCTGAGCTTCTATTATCTGTGGGATTTTATGTTCCTTTCAATCCTCCTCCTCTCCCTCTGAGCTCTGCAATTCTTCTCATCACCCACGCCTGCAAACTGTGTCTAGTATTTGAGTCTTCTCCTCCTCCTCACACACTTACTCTTTTCAGACATATATTTGTAAAATATAAAGAATTGAGTAAGATTTTACTTTTAAAATAGACAAAGATATTTCCAAATGTATTTCCAAAACTATCTTTAATGAGAAGATGCATGTAGCTTATTTAGAGAGTTTCAGAAAGCTGAATGATTTTTTACTTTTTCTATTCTTTAGAGATTTTTTTTACATCTATAATTTCAGCTTTACTGTGTTAAAACTCATTTTACAAAACGTCACCACATATGTTACTAATAAACTAAATTCCTCCTCTTCAAAGTTTAGAACCTAAAGTTGCAATTTGCAAGCCTAATCTGATGCTTTCACTGCACTTGGCAAGAACTGGAAGTATTTCACTATTTTGCTACTTTATGCAAGAAAAACAAGTGGAAACACATGAAACAGCTGCACAGATTCTAAGATAGGAAGGAAACATGCAGTAGTAATATTTCAGTTAGACTGTGTAATTTCAAGTACACACACATTTCTCTCCAGGCTTGCACGGTTTTGAGTGCAAGTTTCAAATGAAGACTAGAAATTTTCTCCAAAATACTTTCTTTTGATTAAAAACGTTTGAGAAATTGAAATAAAGGGTGAAAAAATCATCAGTAGCTATCTTGATACAACATAATTATAAATTATGATGATGTATTTGTGTCAAAATGTCAGAACTACCCTCATCAGGCTTCTTCACTAAATAAACAACTGTTTTTAGAAGGTTTATTCTTGTAAAATACACATTTCATTGCTCTTACCATACACGCTGTACTCCAGATATCAGCAGGTGTACTGTAACCTGCTCCTATTAAAACTTCTATGGATCTATATTGTCTTGTCTGGATGTCTTCTGTGAAGTGTTTATGCTAAAACAGAAAGAACCACATTAATGAAAAAAAAATAATTAACAACAGAAAGGCCTATTCTGAATAGTGAAGGCTAAACAGCTAAAATGATGTACTTATACTTACCACCCAGCAGGCATTCCCCAGGTCAGCAATTTTAACTCTAATTTTATCTGCATTTCTTGGGTCCAGTGGATTCACCAGCAAGTCAGCAGCACGAGTTTTTGCTAAGACAAGCAAAATGCAGAATTAGTATTTTGAGCATACTGTTCAGTATCTTTAAGCAGGTTTGCCTTGACACTTTATCCATTTTTTTTAATATATCGAAGACATCACAACCATTTGCTGAATATTTTGAGAAATTAAAATAACATAAATAGGATTTCTTACCCTGATGTATAAATAGCCTTATATACTTCAAATGCAACTTTTTTGCCTTCTTTAACTGCCAAATGACTATTACTAAAATATCCAGAGGTGCTTCTAAGCAAAACCAGTGCATATGTTTCCAAGACCAAATTCAGACAGAAAATCTTAAAACTCAACCTCCAAGAACTTCACATGAAAGATACATTCTTGGAACAGTTTGATTGAGACCCTAAATTCTGCACTTCCATTCTTGGCTAAGGTAAATAAATTTCTTCTGGATTTCTTCTTTCTCAAAAAAAATTGTCCAAAGGGGAAAAGGACTCACCAACATCTGCCTAATTTGAGGGCACAGAGGACGGTCACTCATTTCGCAAATAATTCAACATTAAATGAAAGTTCTCTGAAGGTCCTATTTGCATTGAGTATGATCCAGACTAAAATAGGCAGAATGTGAATCTAATGAATCCTGCAATCTTTAGAGGCTCTTGGGATACTGATGACACTACCGTGTGACAGTGGAGGACTGCTGCTTTTCTTTGTTTTGACAAACCACCTGCTAACTCCTAAACTGCATTGGAAAGGAAGCAGATTGTCTTGGAAGACAGAACCACGTATCATAAATTACAAATCAGTTTCTTTGTTCCAAAGGTACCAAGACTAAGGTACTAGAACCAAAAGGCACCAGGGACTCCAACGGGGATATAATTATCTACTGAACTGGTGTAAGAACTGAAAGGGGAAAAACCACCAGACCTAGGACAAGAAGGAAAATGCAAAATCCCTAATGGTGAGTTAGGAGTCACTGAAATCAGACGAGGATCTTTGCTGGGACAGCAAAAGCCTGAATGGGCCACCAGAGCACTGAAAATAGTGGCCAACCAGAAAAGAAAGTGGCAGGACCCACAGGGGAGAGAAGGAAAGAAACACTGAAGACTAAGACTAAACAGCAGAAGACAGGCAGGACAGTGACCTCAACAAAACAGTCTTTTTAAAAAGTTGGAATGGAGTCCAAGACTTGAGCTTAAAAAAAAAATCAGTATACGGCATAGAAGTAAAATACACTGAGAGAATAAGGTTACAATCCAGCACAGGAACTAGTAAGCTTGCTATTAATGTCCTCCTCTATGAGCATGCTGTGCAGTACAGTCTGATTTTTATTTTTTTTTAACCCAATCACATGCATTATTCAAGAAATAACAGGACCTTTCTCAATTCAGTAGCCCTGGCAAAAACAAAAAAAAAAAAAAAAAAAGAAAAAAGAGACAGTGCTAGATAAATCCCTCCTACACGTCTGGTTGAAGGTGAAGGACTGCAGTAAATAAAAGTGTAATGAAGGGTGAAAAAAGAGCCTCCTCAGTAAGACATCTGAGTATGACAGCTTTTTTCAACCTTGTTCTAACAGGGGGACCTGACAAGGTAATAGGCAAGTGCCTACACTGTTGTGTTTATCTCAGGAACTCATTAAGTTTATGGTCTATATTTTCTGAGACAAATACGAGACCTTGGATTCTGAATTTGACAAACACAAATCAATCACAACTGAAAGTGAAGTCAAAAGGAGTGCACTTGTCAGTAAGTACTCTCAAAAAAGCATCCAGAGGAGCTCAGCCCGAGCACGAAATTAGTGAGCATTTACGATTTTCACTTTTGTGTGTCCTAGTTCCGTAAAACTGAGAAATATCACCTCCTCTTCTTAGCCCCAGCATGACAGTATACTTAGTATAACATTCAGACACTGGAATGAGGAAAAGAGTCATGAGAAAATTAATAGATCTATCTTAAATGCATTTGGTCACACAGGGACACCCTGAAAAAGATAAAAACTTAATAGCTGCTCATCCACTCCTCACAAACTGGACTGTGCACAGAATGAGGTGAGCATCCGAAACAATAATGAATAGAAAGGCCTAGACAGGAAGGAGCAAGGAAAGCCGATTTTGTATACAAAAAAAGGGCACTAAAGTTAATTAGAAAAGTAGCACCATTTAAAAATACTGCGTAGCCTGCAACTCTTGTATCTTCCTTCTTTCTAAATACTTTAATCGGTTTTATTACTGTTTAACCCAACATTATTACTGATGCCCTTAATATTAATAAGGGCAGCTGATCCTCTTCATGAGGAAGTAGTGAGCTAGGGCTGAATTTACTATCTTCTCTCTTTCCACAAAAAGCTCTGTAAATCGCTCCTGATGAGATAACATCATGGAGAAACAAAGTAGGTTTGTTTCTCCAGTCACGGAGCTAAGCTGCTCCTATGATGACAAAACCAGCTGTACTTTCTGGAGGCACAAGGATTTTGTATGTCACCCCAGGAAAACAGCAGCAGAGGTCTTCTGCCTGTGCACTGCCTGCAGCACAAAGGAAGAGGCTATCAGGCATCCCGGAACCTCCCGCACATTTTTGCAGGGATTACAGGGTGTAAGGAAATGGACTGGAAGACTTATTTGCCTGGATCTTGACATTTTCCAGAAACACAGCTCCACTCATTTGTATTTTATTTCTTGCCTACCTGCAGATTACCTTGCCGCTCAGGCTCTGTAATAAACTGTGCGAATTGCCATTCTGAAGTTTTAAGCCAAGAAATACACTTGACTGTATTTTTCAATGCCTCTCTATTTAAATTTAGCAACTTCATCAGTGTTGATACAGGCTTGGTGATCTTCTCTCTAAGCTACCTCATTTTCTTCTATCCGCTTATGGATTTAGTCTCTCAGTATTTTCTTTATTAAAGCTGAAACCCATATATTTATCATTTAGCCACTGGCACGATAAATAAAACTTATGGAGCTATTTAATTCAACAGTAAAGATCCAGTCTTTCACACTGACACCAAGATTTCACCTTCCATGTCTTCAATAAACAACACTTACAAGCAAAAATTTGGGATTTGAGCAGTTCCAGTGGACAGAATTTAAATGTCCAAAATCATGCTGGATACAGAAAAGTCATAATGAGTTGAGGGTTGGCAACATGCTTACAGAGACAAAAACTCTTTCTTGTTGAGTTTAAGTAAAAGGTTAACAGAGGGACTCTTTGAAACATTTTCAATGAAAACATAGCTAGTACAGAAATTTTTAAAATATGACTGAGAAAAGATATATCAAGAAGTAATAGCTAGAAGCTGCAACCAGACAAATTCCAACTTGCTCCAATTCTTCTGAAACGATCCTGAGTACCGAACATACTTCAGCCAAAACAGATTTTTTATTATTTCATTTGCCCAAACCAAGAGCAGGTATCCTTGAAAAATATGTTTTAAGCCAAGCAGAAAAGTTACTGGGCTGTGTTACCGGCTTCTTACAAAAAGAATTCAGGTTACATGATCTCACTATCACATTCTGCCCTTAAACTATGGGAATAATGTGTACTTGCAACTAATAAACTTCCTCTTTCCTGTGCAGACTGACCTATGAGCATGAACATTTCACCTACAACTTCTCTAATACCCTTAAAAAGAAGTTCTATTGTAGAAAAAAAGGAAGAACAATCAGAAAACACAGTATGTTTTGCTCTTAACATTTCAGGTAGTAGATTTGTTTGAATTTAACTAGAATGCTTCTGCCTGTGTTCCAAGCTGGATCTATCAATGCCCCAAGTTTGAATACAAGAAAAATCATAGAGTTTACTTAAACTAAGCCTAGCTAAGCTTCTGCCTTTAGTAGGACTATTACAATTTCTTCCTAACCTAACCACTACCTTTCTAGTCCACTTACCTGCCTCTTTCTTTTCTTTACTTTAATTGTCACCCATGCTACTAGACAAGTCTTCCATCAATGAAAGTATTTTTTACCCCCATCTATTTCTAAAAGCCATTTGCGTTTCCTTGAAACCTGGTCCTAGGAGGTCGAAATTCACCAGAATGCTTTGGGAAAAAACTAAGTTAAAAGCCTCCTCTTAATTTCTAATCATCTGCATTTTCGCCAAAATTCTTCTCAGACAAAATATTAAAATTGAAACAGTGAGAACTGAGATTTTGTACTCACATGATGTATGATTCCAAGAGCAAAATATTCATTGTAGATCACAGAATCATAGAACAGCTTCAGCTGGAAGAGACCTAGAAGTTCAGCCTTTGTCCCAGTCCTATCCACCAGCTAAATGATGTCCCCCAATGCAACATCCACCCGTCTCTTAAACACCTCCAGGGACGGTGACTGAAACACCTCCCTGGGCAGCCTGTTCCAATGGCTGACAACCCTCTCAGGAAAGAAATTCTTCCTAATATCTAACCTGAACCTCCCCTGGAGCAATCTGGATGTGCTAAGATGAAACCAAGAACAAGAAATCAGCGATCAGTTTAAAAAATGGTCCCCAGTAGTGGCTGCAGTTGTAACCCAAGTGCTAACTGTGGTTCATCACACCCCATCTGCCCCCTCTCCCCTGATGTCTGGGGAGTGCCAAGGAAAGAGCATATGGGGCAGCCTGCAGAGATTTCTCCGACTGCAGAGAGTGGCAGGCAGTATCATCTCCTCAGAGGGTGCTCTTCACACTCAAGCACGAAGCACGCCTGGACATTGGCTGGTTTGGCACCAACCCAGAAACTAAACACATTTAAAACACTTCACCTGTAGGTAAAGTCAACTGGGAAGTGCCAGACCTAGTGCTCAAAGTCAGGGAAATGGTAGGATATTACTGAATGGTCTGGGGCTGTTTAGCCTGGAGAAGAGAAGATTGAGGGGAGACCTCATCGCTCTCTACAGCTACCTGAAGGGAGGTTGTAGCGAGGCGGGGGCTGGTCTGTTCTCCCTAGTGGAGAGTGATGGGATGAGGAGAAATGGATTTAAATTGTGCAACGGGAGGTTCAGGTTGGATATTAGGAAGAATTCCTTTACTGAAAGGGTTGTCAGCTGTTGGAACAGGCTGCCCAGGGAGGTGGTTGAGTCACCGTCCCTGGAGGTGTTTAAGAGACGGGTGGATGTTGCGTTGGGGGGAATCGTTTAGTAGGCTGACAGGGCTGGGAGAAAGGCTGGACTTGATTTTCTAGGTCTCTTCCAGCTGATACGATTCTATGATTCTGTGATTTTGTGTTACTGAAAGAAGTGTGTGACGGCCTATCTACCCATAAGACTTGGTACTGAATTTTCACCAACCTAACCACCACCCCCCACTTTAAATTAAAAGTAAAATCTGCATACATGTGTCACTAGGCACAGAAAAAACACATTCATAAGACATACAAAAACGCTGTCTTACGTAATACTATGTATGTCTATGTAACATTACATATTCTACATCACCTACAGCTCCAAGAGACTTCAGGCATGCCGCTAAGAGGAATACTTACTTTTTGGCAAATCCCCAGTGCTTGAAGCTGAAACTGTTCTGCTCCTGTCGTGAGATGGGCTGCTCTCCTCTCTCTCAGTTACAGTTGATCCTTCAGAAACAGCAGAACCACAAGCTACAGACTCTAGAGCCCCAGAGAACACTGAAGCTGAAAATTCAGAGAACTCTGACTCAGGAATTTTATGACGTCCATTTGGCAATTCACCATTAAACTGTTCATAGGAGCTGCTATAAGAGTAATCACTTTTTGCATTTGGCTCGTCAAGATTATACTCCTCTGGATTTGGACACTCTTCATCTTCCTCATCTTCATCTTCAATCTGTTGTTCCAATAGGAATGGGCCATTCACAATATGGCCATTTGTTTTGGGGGATTCTATCCACTTAGGGTCTGTAGGGTCAGTGTTGACAAGTTCCTGCTCAACATCATCATCTTTTTCAGTGTTTTCCTTCTCTGTGTCTTCTTTTTCATCTTGATCTTCTGCTTCACCTAAAAAATTAGAATCAACAATACATCAATATACCATTCTGAAATTAGACATCTGTAATTTCTAACTCTTCAGTAGCTACATGACTTCTGACATATCACATACAGAAACACTGAAATATGCAAAGATGTTAAAAACTAAATTAAAGGCAAAAGAATGAACTAGTAAGGCTATTGGAAAAACAGTAGGAAGTGGTTTAGGAGGAACAATTCACAAGAGAATATTATGACAGGAAGATACATAAGGTCTTGAAAGCAGGTTTTACAAATCTATAGCTCAAACTATGTCCAACAGCCATCACAGAAGTAGGAAAATCCACAGAGTCACAGAGTGTTAGGGTTGGAAGGAACCTCAAAAGATCATCTGGTCCAGCCCTCCTGCCAGAGCAGGATCACCTACAGTAGATTGCACAGTTACACGTCCAGGCAGGTTTTGAATGTCTCCAGAAAAGGAGACTGACACCACAATCTCTGAGCAGCCTGTTCCAGTGCTCTGTC